TGTCTCAATGTCTAAACTTAATGCAAGGGATTAATAAAATCCAGCTTGTATCCATTAAGTCATTCACTGATTTATCAAGTCTGACTAATAGGAACAGACGTCATAAAAGCATCTCAGCATGGCCATGCAATTTCCTTAGTCATAACTTATCAGTGGGCCCCATAAGACATTAATCTCTTTAAAAAGAGTAGTGACAAATCCTATGTACGTAATCTACGTTTCTGAATACGCGCTGCGGCATACCCAAAACAAAGCCTGTATACCATCCTTATTTCATATGGCTTAGGACAATGCATCAAAGCATGCGGGTTCACATATGCAGAAAACGTAATACTTCAAGTCAAAGGATAGTTACACCCGTGGTCGCGCTAAAGATGCTTAGAGCATGAACTAAAAGTTCAAGCAACATCTTTAGGATGGGTCAGTCCGGCATCCTATTATCTCTAGATAATATCTGCCCATGTGCGGATGCGAACACACCGTCATTGACTATGAGACTAAGTCAAACATCCAACACACACTAGTCTCACATGCACTAACGATATCCCACTCTCGTTAATACTCGTTAACGATATCCCACTCTAGCTGTCTCATCAGCAGAATAACACTATCTGATAAACATCTTTTACATATAAATCTAGGAATATAATATTTGTTTACATTAGCATGAGATGTGTAAACATATTATATCTGCCTATATATGATAGGATAACGATGAACAGTTGGCCATCAGGGCACAACTCCAACAATCCCCCACTTGCACTATGGCCAATCTGGCATCGGTCGAATGCCCATGGACCTAGTGTGACCCTCATGCTTTAGCTTTCCTAAAGGCTTGGTCAAGGGATCGGCTATATTGTCGTCAGTATCTACTTTGCAAATCATCACATCTCCTCTATCTACGATTTCTCGTATGATGTGATAGCGTCGTACAATGTGTTTGGTTTTCTGGTGAGATCGCGGTTCCTTTGCCTGTGCAATGGCCCTAGTGTTGTCGAAAAACAACGAGATAGGGTCATTAATACTAGGAACAACTCCAAGTTCAGTAATGAACTTCTTGATCCAAACAGCTTCTTTAGCTGCCTCGGCGGCAGCTATGTACTCAGCCTCTGTAGTCGAATCGGCGGTTGTATCCTCCTTGAAGCTCTTCCAGCTAAAAGCTCCGTCACTTAGGCAAAACAAATATCCTGCTTGTGATTTTGAATCGTCTCTGTCGGTTTGGAAGCTAGCATCAGTGTAACCGACCACCTTTAGCTCTTCCTCACCACCGTATACCAGGAATGCATCCTTAGTATTGCGAAGATACTTGAGGATGTTCTTGACCGCTGTCCAGTGTGCTTCTCCTGGACTTCCCTGGTATCTGCTCGTCATGCTTAAAGCGAATGAGACATCAGGTCTAGTACATATCATGGCGTACATGATGGATCCAATCGCAGAAGTGTATGGAACCTTCATCATGAGTTCCTTCTGCTCGGGAGTAGAAGGACTCTGGCTCTTGGAAAGAACCGTGCCAGGTGTCATAGGTAAAGATCCTTTCTTTGAGTTAGACATGCTAAATCGATCAAGGATTTTATCTATATATGTACTTTGATTCAGACCTATTAACTTTCTAGATCTATCTCGGTAGATTCTTATGCCAAGGACATAACTAGCATCCCCTAAGTCTTTCATGGAGAAGTTCTCGCTCAACCACGTCTTTACAGAAGTGAGAGCAGGAATACTATTACACTCCCACTGACCTTCTTGTATACACAAGATTCGTCAGAGTTCTTTTCGAAACCAAAACTGGAAATGGTTTCATCGAAACGTATGTACCAACTCCGAGATGCTTGTTTCAATCCATAGATTGAACGATGCAGTTTACAAACTTTGGCAGACTGACCAGTAATTTGAAAACCGTCAGGCTGTGTCATAAAAACATCCTCTTTGAGGTTCCCGTTAAGGAAAGCCGTCTTGACGTCCATCTGCCAAATTTCGTAATCGTAATAGGCTGCAATTGCAAGCATTATCCGAATGGATTTCAGCATAACAACTGGAGAAAAGGTTTCATCATAGTCAATTCCGTGGATTTGTCTATAACCTTTTGCTACCAATC